TTTCTTCTAGTCTCTTCTTATGTTTGTTATATTGTTAGTTTGTTAGATAATTGGTTAGTATTTCCTCTATAAATAGAATAGGATTGCAATGTATTTTCCGTAAGCATGAATGAATGAAATATTCATCATCTTCCCTGCTGTAATTCAGCAGGTCCATTTCCCCTTTTTTTCTTCCTTTATTTCTGTTGTTTATTTTCAGTTCAGCTTTCTATGTCTGCTTAATTTCGTTCTGTAGATTTCAGCTTAAATCTACAGCCTTCCCTTCCTTGAATTTATCATGGTATTAGAGCCTTCTTTCCTGGAACTTAAGATAGAGATATCTGGGGGAGCATGTATTGCCTAGAATTAGGAGTGTTGGAGATGGCGTCGAGCTGTCACAATCACCCATTCACGATGCTGCAATCCTACTGGCTACTGCATTCTACATGGACTGTCTATTTGTTTTATGAAGATAATCTTTGGGCTGGTCTTCTATAGATCTAAAGCGTCATGAGCTTTTTGGTCTTTTGCTTGGATTAATGTGACTAAAATGGGAACAATACATAGTTCCTATTTTTAAAGTTCACATTTCATAAATAACAAACTTCTTAAAATATTTCAAAAATCTGGTGCTANTTAGGTGCTAAATAAATTTATGAAATATTAAATTATAATATATTAAATATTAAATTATAATATAATATATGTTGATTATTTACACCACCCCATGACACCTCACCCACCCCATCTCCTCACTATACCACCTCCCTCCATCTCAGACACCGGTCCGACCATTGCTCCGGCGACTTCTCCGGCGACCGTTCCGGCGATTTCAAAATTTTCGAAAAATTGAAAATCACACCCCCAACCTATGGATTGGTCACAATCGGCCACAAACGGTCACAATCGGTCTCAACGAGTCACAATTAATCAGTCACAAAAGGTCACAATCGGCCACAAACGGTCACAATGAACTACCCGGTAGTCAAATCGCGATCTGGATCAGAAAAGTTCGCAGACACTACCAACTTCAGTTGCAGCCTTCAATGTGACCAACTGTGACCCAATTTGGATCCAGTGTGACCGTTTGTGACCAATTTTGTGTTAATTGTGACCGATTGTGACTTGATCATATTCAAGTAACATTCGATCACAATTAACACAAAACTGGTCATAATTAGTCACAGTACACACAAATTTGGTCACAAATGGTCACAACGGACAAATTCGCTCACACCACGGACTAGCACCACAATCCACCACCTGTCATCACCACCATCACCTCCAATTGGAATTTTAAGGTTACATTTTAATAGTTAGTCACAATGAACCAAATTGTTTGCGATATTAATTTCATTTTTTTCTTCTAATACCATTTCGTGTTCGATAACCCACCTTATCAAACAACCAATCGTTTCTAACATTCTGATTAATTCAAAAGTTGAAGTTTTTTTTTTCGAAATGCAATCTCCTCAAAGAGATGAAGTGCTTCTAAAGCAAAGCTACCACAATAACCATTCAGGACCCAAAAACAGTAAAAGAATGGAAATCCAAACAAGCCCAAATCCAACACCGACCAAAGCCACAACCTCTAATCCGGCAAAGGGCTGAAAGAAAAATAAGAAGGGCCATAACAACGGCAGGGGAGGGAGACGGAGCAGGACAATCCGGATTGGAGCCGTTAAACCTTTGAGCACAGTCGATCGATGAAAGTGGCCGGAAGAAAACACATCTGGAAACGCCCCGTTTGCACAAAGCCACCACCAATGAGGTCCAAACCTCCCCACAGGCCGAAATCCTCCCCACCCCAAGCATAAGCCTCTTCTGTCTGAAACAACAAAAGCACCAAACCCAAACTGTTGGTCAGATTCTGGATCATATCAGACCACTCACTATTGGTCACCACAGAACCTCTTCAGCTTCATCTTCATCGCTCAATATATGCTGTTTCTCTAGCTCCTGCAACCAATGATCATTAGCTTCTTCTCCGACTCTTGCGCCAACAAGCAATCCTGACCGAAAATTAACAATTGATGTTTCGATGAAGTTTTAGGATTCAATTGAAGATTCTCGACTAAATAGAAGTTACGAGAATGATATAGGATTCAATTGATAGAAAGAGGAGAGAGCGAGGAGGGAGAGACGAGATAGGGGGGTTGGGAAGAGACGAGAGTTCAGACAGAGATGATAGTGAAGAGAGAAAGGAGAGGAGATGAGAGAACTGCCATCGCCGTCGCCGCCACCTTCCCCATCGTCTACTGCCACCATCACAGTCGCGACCTCCACTTACCACCACCACAAATAACATCAACACCACACCACACCATAACACACCCGTCGCTTAGATCTTCTTACTCTAGATAACGATGCCGTCGACGTGACGCCGACGCCGTCGACTCTGCAGAGAGCGGATAGAGATGTAGAGAGAGGAGGGAGGGAGGAAAATAATTGGGTTTGGGGAATAGTAGTGGGTCTTGGAGGGAGGTAACAGAGAAGAAGGAAGAGAGAGAGATGATGAGGTGAAGATGAGAGAGAGTGAGAGAGACGGTAGATGAAATTAGGATTTTAATATTAGAATGTTAAAAAAAATTAAATTAAGACCTGATTTTTGTATAAAAAACTTTTCAACATGAATTTTGAAATGTATAGTTTATATGTAGGGTTTGAGCTAATTTTCCAGACTAAAATTCTACTTGGGCTGGTGCCCTTAGTTGTTGGGCCCTAAAGTCACATTCCTTAAGTTATAGGGCCTTGAAGCCGACTTGTGCTCGCAGTCCAATGGGCTAGTAAATTAGCTGTTTTTTTCTTTTGTTGATTGAGGGTTAGGTTTTACCCCTCTTATTTTGTTTTATTTCTTTTTTATAATTAAATCAATTATTCCATGTGTAACAAAAATTTTTTTTTACAGAAAACATACAGATATTCACAATGGCAAGCCCCACCGTGTATTTTTTTTTCCCTAAAAATGGCGGGACCCACATATTGTGTGTGTTCTGTAAATTTTCTATTGGTTTTGCTTCTGTACATCAAGCATTCCTAGAAGTGATTTGACTAAAAAAGGTATGTAGAATATATTTGTTTTTCTTATATTCTACATATATAGTTTACATAACATTATATACAGCAAAAACAACACAACGTGCCTTATTTTCAATAGATTTGTGTCGGCTACGTGAATTATTTTTCTTGAATACATTTAGCTCGTCTCTACATATCTCGGAAGATCCAATTCTTGGAATAACATACATCACATGATTGATGTATCATTATGTACAAGCTTTAAATCTGCAAATGTACATATAGAGGTATTTCTCTTGAACACCTTCCAATTGACTCTCATGTAAACACAATTTATATCATTAATAATTTAAGAATATTGGAAGATGGGAACTTTATGGATTATTAGTGCTACTAACTCACAATGGAAAAAACTTTCCTTCTACCTCTAATGCACATGTAAAATATAACTTTCAGCAAGTTTTCAACTTTACATGTTGTTAATGATTTTATACACATTTTACTCTGGGATCCCTTGACCTTTATGACACTAGTCTTCAACAAAAGTGCATTGTAAACTTGAATTGTTCCCTTGAAAATTCTCCTGGTGTCTTTAATAAATGAAACTGCACTTTTGTTCTTCCTTGGTGATATTCTTCTCTTGGATCTTTGTTTTTTGCAGCAACATTGGCAAGCTTTGACTGAATTACCACAGCATTCCTCTGGTTTATGTTGACTGCATGAAGTTTGGTCTTGTACATTGTCAAGAGTAAGCAGAGAATCTTTTAATCAGAAAAGTACTGATCAATGTGGTAATTTGCTTTCTTAAGTTTCTCATGTCTTTTATCTGAAACTAGCTTTTTTTTTCATAAAAGTCCTCGACTTTAAGCAATTTCAGCGTGGTTATCAGGATTTCGAAATTTGATGGTCAAGGAAACAGTTTCTTCCATCATATCTGGGAAAGAATATTTGCTGATGGCTAATCATATAGCAAAAAATTAAGTTCTCTTAATTGACTTCCATGTATAGATATATTAAGGGATACAATCTCGTATCGAATAAAGATGAAAACATAGACCAATCTATAAAGGTTTGGGTTACTCCTCTTAATAAGATTAACGTTTTAAGATGGAATTTCAAATCTTAACATAGTATCAGAGCCCGTTAACCATCAACGAGCGATTCGATCCGATTAAGATTCAAACAATTGAGCACATGATTTTTAAGATTGGTCTATCCTCCATTCTGTAGGGACATGTTAAGAGATAGAATCTCAGTTTGGACTATTCCTCTTAATAAAGCTGACATTTTAATATGGAACCTTAGGAACTCCAAATCTTAACAAGATTAACAGTATGTTCTAGAAGACTGCTCTATTTTGTTTCACGTACATGTCATGTAGAAAGCTGCGAATTCTCTTATCCAAATTATTAAATTTTTAATTTTAAATCAGATTAATTTTAGCTGTAGCAAATATGCTTTGTAATTAGAATACTCCCTTCCCTTTCAAATTCTTTATGATCTACAGGAACAAGTTCTGGCTTCTGGTGTTGTTTCTTCTGTTCTTGAGCGAAGACAGATTTCTGTCTTCCTTTTAAATTCTTGGAACTTTAGCTTACTTCATAGTAAAAAAGCTAATTTTGGAGCTCATTATGGTCATCAATCATTCTTTCTTGTTCCTGAATTTTGTGGAGCATATGGATGATGAATATTATATTGTAGCACCTCAGCACAAGAATTAAGATCTTTGATTGAAATTATTTTTTCTTTGAGAATCAGGGTTTTTATGCACGTCTTTATAAAATATAAAGGATATTGTTTTGTAATCTGTAGAAGACAACTCTTGGAATTGCGTAGCAGTTGAAGTATTGAATATCCATCATTATTTCCATTTAGTTAAGATTTCTGCAGGTGAAGGTATCTTTAATCAATGCATGTCGGGTTGCTTTTGAAGGTTCAATGAATGGTTACTTTAAACGGATACAAGAACATATGATGGGAAAATGACATGTTTCAGATGAATGTACACATGCACTTAGGGAAAATCCTTAAAAATGGAACTTAGTTAAAAACAATTGCACTTGAATTGGTAGCGCGCACATATATATATATATGCTACTTACCGAGAATTACTGCAGACTCAGTTATGCAATAATATTAGAAATAATTTAGAATGGTGAAGGTTCGTGGTGCAGCAATGTTGGAATTATAGGATGGATTTGTTGGGACTCTGACAACAATATATTGGCTGGAGCCTGAAGTTCATGTACCCTATGTTTTCCATAAGGTTATTTTCTGCATCCTCATTTATTTCATTTGCTTTTTTTTTCTTTTCTTTTCAATATAATCTGCTCACTATATGCTAAGATTTTGTTTATTTGAGGATAAAACAAGATCAAAACTGCTTGCAATTTCTTGTTTTATCATTCTATGCACCATAAGATCGCTCAGAAAATAAGAGTTTGGCAATTTGCAGATGAATGCTCCGCCAGATATTGCTCATCATCATCTTGCTATTGCATTTTTTTTTTGTTGCTAGTCATATGTATCGAACGAATTTCGGGATTGGACACGATATCTCTTAGCGCATACTTTTTTCTTCTCATCAGAGTTATTTCACAAAGATTTGCAGGGTAAGGAAAAAGGGAGGGAACAAGCAAACTTGGAGTGCGCAGTATAACGGAGAGTTGTATGCTGTGTTTGGGAAGAATGAATCACTCCCGAAGGGGAATCTATTGATTCTATCTCAATTGGTTGGACCGTAGGTGTGATGATTTATTTCACGGCCGAGGTCTCTCGTTTACTAATTCTAGGAAAGTTGTCAAAGATGTTATGTGTATCTTTAAAACATTATGTCCAAGTGAACTTGCTAAATTATTTAACCTAACGAGCTTTTTAATTGTTTCATTGTGTTTCCAAGCATTATCTATCCTATTAATTTACTTTTGACTTATTTAGGAAGAAAAAAAAATCACAAAAGGTATTTGAAATTGGATAGAGCATATGAGTAGCCAACCCCAAAATTTATTGGAAACAAGACTTTAATGCTGAGACCAAAAATCTCTCTCTGTTTTTGAACTTGGAAACTTCTGGTGCTCTTTTTTGAAATAGCTTTAATGCTGAGACCAAAAGGTGGAATCTTACACCTACCACACCACTTTGTCAAAGAAAGCAGACTAAGCAGACTGCCTTTACTGTAGAGGTTAGTAAATGCAAATATTAAAGACTTTGTTGTGTCAATTTTTTTATAATTTATACCAGTTCCTTAAATAAGACAATAAAAAGATTATTGGAGCTGCACTATAAAATCAGGATAAAAGATTATGTGCCATAGTATAGAAAAACATAATCAAACAATCTTTCACATAAATGTAGAAAAAGTACTAGGTTAAAACATAGTGATTATATATTATCAGGGATTCGATGAAGGGAAAATGATTCATGTAATCGACGCCAAATTTGTTGAGAGGAAGGGTTTCTGTCGTTGGATTAAAGAAACTTACCTAGACCATCTGTGTGACAAGTCTATATGCCTTCTAATCTGATCTTAAGATGTTCTTTTTCTCTCTGATTTTTCTGTCTGTGAGATGTTTGTATGAGCTTTAGCTTATAAGTTTAAAAGTTTTTCCTTAAGTAAATAAGTTCGAAAATAAATAAATATTTCATTAGTCAAAATTTAAGCAAGTTACTTTACACGTAAGAAAAAGTAAGTAGATGATAATTAACTTTACTATCAATCAAGAGACAGATTTGATTGGCTTGGTTGGAACCATCGAAGCATGATTAGAAACAAGCATTTTACCTAAGAATATTTTTTTCTCATTTTTAAACTCAGCCAAACATGCTAGTAGGTATTTTGCCAAAGATTAGAGAGAAGCTAGCTTACATGGAAAATGGGATGCTTCAAATAAAATATATAATGTCCCATTTTTCATGTAAAACAATCTGTAGATTAAAAACATACCCTGTTCTGGACTGCATGGAGAGGAAGTGAGTGATAGGGAACTGTAAGCATCAGTAGTAGTATATGTACGTGATATTGGCACGGCTCAATCAAATAACTGAGCTCTAAATATAAAGAGCACGGCTTTCTAATTGAACCGCACTAATATCTCGTATTGCTAAAACTGACAGACATCCATCACTCGCTCATCCTCCATTTGGCTTTGAGGAGGATTGGATTCCGAACTGGAAACATCACCTCTCAAAGAATCCAGAACATCACACTTGTAAATTCCCGGTTAAGAGGCCTTGTTTTCTTTATATGAAAGAGCTTCAAAGAGATGAATAGAAACTGAGGGGAAGAATATGACAACTATGGAGATTTTCTCTATGAAACCAATGCATAGATACAGATATCTATATATACATGGGAGAAGAAGAAACAGAAATTGGATGGTTTGGGGGGTAAGGGATGGGGTTATAATTGGGGTATGGGTGGTGTGATTGAGAGAAGCAAGCATTGAATTTGCCAACAACCCAACTACAAAAAGGGGGGTATATTTACTCCAAAGCTTACTGGAGAAAATCTCGTGCTTTCAATATACATTTATGAGGTTGGGGGAAAGGCATGTTGGTACCATCACACCTGCAGTTAAATTTCAAACTGGGTAAAAATTCTTGTTCAGTATACTTATTTTTAAGTTTATAAAAAGAGATGATGAGATTTCCTTTTTCAAGATCAATATTTTGTGGGAGTATAGCAATAGCTTCTTTCTGGGTATCTTGCAGGATGGTTTTGAACTTAATTTTCTCTTTGAATGCAAAAATTTACATTGTATTGGCTCTACCCTTTTGCCCTGTAAATATTTTAAAACCATTGAGAGTCACATTTGGTACATTGATTCTTAACTCATTTTGGACATGGCATGACATCCATTGATTCTGTTAGAAAAATAAAATCTCTGCTTACTCAAGTAACATTACTCTAACAAGTTAAGCACCCAGATATACTCGATTAGACTCGATAGAATCATCGAGAAAGGGCTACATCAATAAAATTTGTATGTTGTCTTGTTCACTTCAATACAATAAATATACATTAAACAATTCGCCCATTGCTTTGGCTTCTTGTAGCATGTTGTTTCTTAGTCATATCTACTTGATTGTGATACGTGCATATATAAGTCCAATGCCCCTTTGCACAAGAAGCATATAACTTCAATTATTTGTATTTTGGTTGGAAATCCCTGAAGCATCTAACTGTAACTAGTTGCCCCACCCATGACCTGTTTTGGTCGCACGGAACATCACAATACTATTTTCACGTGAAAATGCTGAACCCCCCTTTGCCCTCTCACCTTCCACCTTTAATTCCTTGACACATTAAGAACTCCCAACTTAAGGAAGCATTTATGACATGTTTGTAAAAAGGTGGACATCGTCCCGTCAATCGAGTAGTACTGTGTATCGAACATGTTTGTACTACCAATCACCTCTAACAAGCGGGAAAGATATCGAAAAAGTATCTTAACTGCGATTCTCGTTATTACGTAGAACTGTATGTGCTCTTTCACTGGCGAACACAAGGGGGGCTGGGGGCACGTGCCCCCCAACTTTGCTTTGCTTTTCTTTTTTTTCTATGTTTTGTTTCAATTTTTGAAATTATTATAAAATGTGAAACGAAATCGAAATATAACATTCTTAATATCATTTCGAAGTGCTCACAGTTTAGTTTTTTATGTCATTAACGGCATGTGAAACGACCAATCGTAGCAAATGTTACGACTTATCAAAGTAGGCGGTTTAAAATTAGTATTTCGAAAATTTCGATAACATGCTAACTTTAAAAATTCTCTGACGATCTTACGGTAGTCGAATCTACAAATCGCTTATATCATCTCAAAGCTCGTTTCAAGAATTACATTATATGCATATTGAATAGTTCAAACAAATATCGAAAATAGTTAAAAATGCGTCAAACTTATGTCTTAAAAAGAGGCGTCTAACTCGCATTTTTTTTTAATTTTAATTATTTTATTAACATTTATTATTTATGTGATACAAATTTTTCAATGCAATTTGCATTATTTTATTAGAAAATTTATATAGGATATGACATAAAAAATTTTCGAAATTTTACATCCGAAAAAGTCATATACCATGTAAATTTTCGATTGAAAAATTTCTCTCAACTTTTTTACAAGTTCGATTGTGCCCCCCAACTTTAATTGTCTGCGTCCGCCCCTGTGCTCTTTCGCAATGGTAATGTATCTCTTCCATGAGCTTGATCTTCATCTTAATGATGTTGGTCCAGAGTAACACCAAGTCATTTCTGTGAATTGTATTGAGTGCCGTATAATTGTTAACCAGTTCTTGGAACCTCATAATGGAGTAAAGTACAGAATACAGAGCAAGGGTTTTTTTTTTTTTTTGGGTGGATGGAGAGGCTCTGAAGTACATGGACCAGTAGCCTTGTGACCTTATATTAACACTTTGATCTCTACCTCTTGGTGACAACTTATTGATGCTAGATTTAGTATGAGAATAACTTACTGTTGGAAATTTTGATTTTATAAAGGGTGGTCGACTTTAAACTAAGCTCACATGTACAATTTTGCCCCATCTAAGGTTTAGATGAGATTAGACGTGGCAAAATGGATCGAGTGGGCAATTCGAGCAAACACTAAAAGTTGTTCTAACTCACTTGTGAAATCTTGATAAATCTAAGTTTTGAGTCAGGTAGAGATGTAAAATTATGCGTGCCAAACCCGACAAGTAAAAGCGGGCGAGTCTTTTATTTTCTTAAAAAGAATAAAATATGAATAAAGTTAATTTTTCAACAAAGGAGTTGACAGATGAAACATAATTTGAGTTTTTTGACGTGACAAAATACAAATGGAACATAATTTTGAATCACGTAACATACAGCAGAAAAATTTAACATTCCAACTCTTTTCATGCAACAAAGGTTTTTTTTTTTCTTTGATAATATTTATCTTGAAGAGGGTTTCTTTTGACATTTGTTTCTGACCCACTTGATGCCTATTGACGTGCCATTCTTGACCTTTTGTGCACCTAAAATGGCTGCTGCTTTGGCTTTACCAAGTCCTGCAGTGGAGCCTGCATTCTTGTTGTTGCCCACTTCTCTGTTGCTTTTAGTATTCTCATCTTCCATTGCACCAATTCCTCCTGCACCCCATTGATCTGCCCAGCTTGGCCCCTCCGTAGCCATAACTATTCGGTTCCCTAATCTCAAAAGCGATAACAAACAAAGGAAAATCAGAAAGACGCAAAGCACACTGATTTATAGTGATTCACTCTCAATGTGAGAGTCGTTTTAACTTGATGTTGCAAAATTTTCGCTACATGAAAGAAGGGAATTACAGGCAAAAATGGCATTTTTCAGAATTTTTATATGACTCGATACATTTTTGAATTGAATCAAGTTGAAGAAACTAAGGAAAAACAAAAAAACGAACAGTTGGAACTGCGGATGTTTGAAACATCAAACTATTGAAACTCAGCACTAGATTAAACTATTTATACACACTTGGTGTATATTAAGTTTGACACTCCATGTATTGTCAAAATCTGTGTCATTTTTGTTTAAAATGTTGTTAAAATCAATATGTAAAAAGTTGTCATTTCACAACAATGTCAAACTTATTGTCAACAAAGATGTACATATAGCATGATTGACTCTCACTTCGCTACTTGAAATAGAAGTCGAGGAACCTATAAGACAAAACGCTGGTTTGGCTTATATAGATCAATAATTTCTTCCGCTAGCAGCCAACAACATCGATTTCAGAGTCAAAAACCAGCAAAGCGAGCAAGTTTGGAAATACACTATGCACAGAGACCCTTCTAATTAAATATCATCAGATGTAACATAAAGAGAGAAAACAAAGATTTAATGATATTATAGATACCTTAAAACCAAAGTAGAAAAACACAGAGAATACCTTGCTTAGAAGAGGATACAGAGTCTTAGATTTGGAATCTATGAGCGAAGAAAGAAGAAGGTGTTTATGGAAAGAATTATTATGATGTAATGTGATTAAGAAGAGGAGTTTGCATGTGGATAGGCTGTCACTTCAACTAATCCATTCTTTTTTAATTTTACAAGACATGCCAACGCATTGGTAACTGTCTCTACAAGCAAACTTCGCACGCTGCCAGCCTACATTTGTTTGGAATTGACAAAGTTGCTTTGTTTTGCACGGAACGCTATGGTGGTTATTGATACCTCAGTTAGATATTTGGAGTATAATATGTTCGGTGAAGTTGGATAGCACTCGATAGTATTAAGAAAGACATAATACTATGTAACATGTAATGTCCAAGTAATATTTCATCATTAGTTGCACACCAGGGTGTAAATTCTGATGTACATGTAAAATACTTCAATGTATAAATGGTGTACTTAATGTTTTTAAAATTTTAATTCTCTTTAGCTTTTGCTTGGAGATATGAAGGTTGGGCCTGTACTTGGTGGGCTTTGAATAAGAGAATGAAGCCTGTACTTGGGCTTAATGACTTTGGGCCATAGAGTAATGGGCCATATTGGGGGACTACTATATGATTTGGGCGGAGAATATCTCATATTTATGAAAATATAGAAGATCAAAATCAAATTTATATTTTTTCTATTCGAAAATGTGAACCTATTAAATTTTTTAAGATAATCGTTGAACTTCGATAAAGAGAAAAATAGAAGGGTTAAATTATTTTGGTATCAATATTGTGGTACCAATCGACACAATCGTTTGGATTTCGATTGCATTAGGTAATAATTTTACGGTTGTCGTGTTACCTTTGGAAGTTTCGTTACATTTTCGAGTCCTATACAGATTCTAACATTCACACATCATTTCAAGTGATAAAAGGAATGTAAATGGATGCACAGAATTTTCAGATAAAATAATTAACCATATTTTAATATAACAAAAAATAAAATATAAAACTTCTCCTTTTAATCCCTACTTGGAGAATTTGCTTCAAAATTTAAGATTGTTGTCTACCCAATTAATCAACATTCATCTATAATTTAATCAGTAAGAAGTAAAAACAACATAATTTCACTTAGTTTTTCTTTCTGGTAGACTTGGTTTTCTTCATTTTCCTATTCTTCTCATTGAAACTACTCCAGCTATATCCACTTGGTATCGTGAATGGATCCAATTGCTCTCCACCATTGCGACTCTGCTTGCTCGACCGGCTGCTGCTCGACAACCAGGACGATGAAAACGACAAGTAACTGCTTTCCTTACTCGTACTTTCTTCTTCATTGTCTACTCTTGCACCAAGCTCACTAGGACTTGACAGCGGAGTGTAAAAATTTTCAATTGGTTGCAACTCGATAAACTTTGTAAAAGTTATTACCACCCTCACCGTAGGAACCACAGGGATTGCCACCTGAATCAAAATTCAACCGTCTGATTAAAATCAAATCAAAATAATTCTATTGGTAAGCCTCTGAATAAAAAATAATGCTATCTATTACAAGTAGCGTTGAACATCAGTCTATGTGTCAACATATCATAAGTTTGCTTGTATTTGATTGAACTTGTAATTTAATGTCACGAGTGATGTCACCTAAACTGACGTTAAACATCGATGGTGCTACTAAATCAATCTACATCGATGGGGATAATTCATGTGTCTGCTTAAAAAAAATTTAATCAAGGCTATATGCAAATAATTAAAAATGCCTATATGATTTTTTTGTCCCTAGAACTTGTGATTTTTTATGGCCCACAAAAGGACCAATAGGATACTTCCACGTCAAATCATTTGGTCTTGGTTGTAAGAAAGAGAAACATTGGTTATGCATCAAAAGAAGGAATTAAATTGAAGTAAAGCAAGACAAATTCAAAGTAAAGCTTACACTGAATCAGAAACAGTTGGTTTATGACAAATTTGTCCTTTACCTTTATGGGAAATGTCCCGAGAGGAAACGTCGTCGTTAACAGCTCCCTCATGCGTCTAACGGCCTTCACTTTATTTGCCAAGATATCAAGTAACGGCAGCAACTCTTCCGTTTTCAATGGGAACTGCTCCGTTAACCAAACCATTGGTCGCAGGCTCTTCACGTATTCCTTCTCTTTCGTCTGCGGCGGCGCAACCAGTCTCTCCGGTGCCCTTCTCCTCCCATCTACCGGAATTATATCCACACTCTTCCTAGACATGGTCACGAACTCCCTATCCTCCCTCACAAAACTGCTGTGCCTCCGTTGCCTGTCATTAGACATGCTAAATCTTGGATTCTCAGCCACTATAAACCCTTCGTCCGACTCTTCATCAATTTCTAATGGCAAGACGTAGGTGGGCCCAAATGGGTCTTCTCTATTATCTCCGGCATTGATTTTACGTGACCGGAAAGTAAAGATAACATTGTGCATTTCGTAAACCTTCGCTTTCCACTCCCCTACACTTTCTGTTTTTTCCTGGCGCCTCCAATTCGTTCGGCACACTAATTCTGCTTTCGTGACGTCCATTCCAGGCCTGTAAACGCTGGTCTGATTGCAGAAGCTTGAAATGTCGGAATCAGATAATGGGCTTCCAGCATTTTCAAATGCGTCGAAGATTTTTTTGTCGTCGTGGTTAAGAACGAGAAGGGAGCCAGGTGGGATTTCGAGAGTGGGATCAATGTCGTTGAGGAAGAGGAAACTTTGATTGGCACGTTGAATTTTGAGACCGTCGTAACCGGCGAGAGATGTGTCTGCTCGGAGGTTGCCATCGCGCTTCCATATTTTGTAAGTATCGGAGGGGGCTATTTTTCCGACAAATGGCACGATGGAACTCTCGAAATGGAAGGAGATCTCCATGTAGAAGTCGCGCATGCGGCGGAGGGCAGCAACTAGACGAGGAAGGCGGCGGCGCCACTTGGACCAGGAGGAAAGGTGATGATGCTGGACGAGGGTAGATACAATCTCCGGGCAGCGGCGAAGTAGGGCTTCCTGAAGGGGGTTCCATCCAGCGGCGTTCTGGAGGGAGATATCGGCGCCCGCAGCAGCAAGACAACGAGCGGCGGTGGCGTCATTGAGGCGGACAGCGAGATGGATTGGGGTTTCCCTTAGACTGTTGTCTCGGCGGTCGACGGCGGCGGATATTTTTTCGGCGAGGCATTCTTGGGCTTGGGAGTCGGACTCTGTCCGTATTCGGTTTGGATCAACGAGTCGGGGCAAAGAGGAAAGCAGTTTCTTAAGGGTGGTGTGATCGCCCACTGCCACGGCAAAGTGGACCAGACTGTGGGCATAATCTTCCGGCCGCACCACCACCGACGATGACGTCGTCTTGGACATTTTCTATATTTTGTCTGACCCTTTTCGTCTCCCAGGGTTCCGGGTCTCCTCCTTGTCTTGCCTGAATTCAAGGGTTAAAAGTGTATGGAGCGAGAATTTGGAATGGAATGTTATTCAAGGAAAAGGAATTGGGGTAAAATCGTCTTTTTACTCCTTTTCAATTTTATTTACATTTTATTGAAAAATGCGTTAAGAATGCTACATGAACAGATTCAAGGACAGACTCAAAATCGAAGGGACATGTGTCCATACATTATTGAACAGTTTGAAAAATAAAAGAAAAAAAATTCACACATACATTGTCAACTCAATCTGTTTATACTGTTTATGTATTTTTAGTATGGACAAATGGCTTTATTCTATAAAATATTGAAAAAAATTAGAGGAACTCTGAGAAAATACAAAGTATTTTTCAATAAAATTTTAAAAATAGAACTTGGACACCTAATTTTATTACCAGTAACAGATTAATGAAGACGTTACTACATTAAATCTAAATAATAAATATAAACAGATTAAGAAGTTGATGAGCCTGGCGTTTTTCCATTGCCACAAATGTGGATCAAGGACCCTACAAGGCCTGATACTAATTATCAACGTGGGCTGTTAGTGGGTTACATTGCCATCTACTTTAAAACCCATATCAAAAAGCCCAATTAAAGGGAACAAAAAAATGTTTACTTTCTGCGAATCTTAAATTATAATTCGGGGTGGGTGAAGAAGAGAGTTGTCATTTAGCTAATATATATTGTCTCCTGCCCAAACTTTATTTGTTCGTTGTGTATATGTTAAACGATAAATCTCGCGTCGATTTATATCAACGTATTGATCAATCTGTAAAGATTTAGGCTACTTTTCTAAATAAGGTTCACCATTATATCAGACTATGACACAAACGAGCACACGGAATTGTAGATTAGTATTCTTCGAGATCATTGAATTTTTAATTATCGAAATCGTAAGTATTTACAAAATCAACGAATTTCTAAATTTATCTATGTTATTATATTGTTTCTCATATTAATAAATTCTCTTACTCGCATGTTACAACTTGCCAGGGTTATATTCAGGCAACTCTTCATTCTACAAAAACTTGTAATTATGACCGTTGAAGTTTATTCATCTACCAAGTTAAGATTTATTTTTCATAATGAATTCCTCAAGAACCCTTTTGGAGGCTTGTACGATGTAATGTGAAACTTCTGACAGTTATTCTATGACATTTAAAAAATAATAAAAATGAAAATATGAACAAAAACACAGTTAATGACTTGATTCTGACTTGATTAGATCTCAGAGAAAAGTTTGAAAGGATTTATAAGATAATGCAGTAAAATACATCAGAGAAAAGCTCGCTGAGTACTCAAAACATAGTTAATACTGCATTCTGACTTGGATTAAAACTCAATACTGACAAATACTACAGCCCCGGGGTTATTTATTTACCATAGCTGAACTATTAACCCCTTCATCACGACACCATCACGAGCACTTGCTCATTACTCTTAAACCTCCAATTCCTTCAGAAAATCTGCATGATCCACCAGAACCTAAATACAACAGAAACGGTGAAATGAGCGTACATCAAGAAGAGAAGCTATCACTATGGGTTAACCAATGTTCAGAACAATTCACAGTGCAACCAGCAAGGAACAATTTTGTCTCATTTCGTATATAGCCTACAAAAACTGAAGCACATAATCTTAACTCTGAGCACATGTGAGGGTGGAGGAAAGGTACTCGAAATACTACTAATTGCAGTGGAAAAGCGAAACTCTAAAGAGAGAACGCAACGGTAATATTAATATCAATATCAAAATCCAAGGTAGAGTATGGATCCCTGAGAACTTACTGTTTTCCACCCATCTGGATCTAGGAAAGAAGTGATCTTAGTGTTGAGTCCAGGAAGTGGTCCTGCCTGCCGAGTTATCTTTCCTCCAAGCTCTTGGGTTACAAGATTCACAACCTCGGCACTTTTATATACATCCTCAGTGCTGATTGCAACCTAGAAATATTATTACATCCACCATGAGGCCAGAGTTGAATGATAACAAAATGAAGAATTTTCACAAGCATATAACAAACCTGTGCATAGGCATTTCCTTTGGTATATTCAGTCACGCCGTAATTGTATGTCAACTCAAGTACAATTGTCTCGTATTCATCAGCATATCCCATCATCGCTATGGTGTACTGCACAGTACAACAACATTTTTTGTCACTGCATTAGCAAATTCCTAAGGAAAACAGAAGGTTGAAGTCCAAAGGACAACTGGGTTGCATTTGCTGATACCTTTTGTTCTGGTCTGTCAGTTTTCTTCAAGAGTTTCATCCCCAATGCCTGTGTGAATAAAGCATATTTTCAGATAAGGGCTAGGTATGTGAGTGGGCAGCCAATCGCTCCAGATTGCACATTAATATTACACTGCAGTATCTATATGGAAGTTGAAGACTACAGGAGAGATTGTTGATACCATTATTTTTGAAGGATAAAAATGGAACTTTCTTATTTCATTTATTCTTCTAGTAGTCAAAAAACTAATATTTCACAAAGTTTAACTTTTCCATCTTATCTCCAAAATGGCTGATAGACGTATTCTTGGAGATGCACATAACAGACGTTTCATTTATTTATGTACATGGACTCACAGGAAGAGCAGAGATATCAGATAAGACCTCCAGAAATAGATCAATTGAAGAGGCAGCTTCAAAACCTAAACCAAACTTTTTTTGAAAGGTAAAACCTAAACCAAACTTACACAAATTAAAAAGGAAAAATAGTTCACCTTCTCATAAAATTTGATAGAACGTTCAAGGTCACCCACACGAAGCATAACTTGACAGAGTGGTTCAGGAGTTGGACCGCGTTGAATAAGTTCAAAAAGGTAGCCATCAGGATCCTTAACAAATGCAATCACAGATGATCCACCTTTAACTGGACCCGGCTCTCGAGTGACAATTCCGCCTTTGGACTTTATATCTTCAACCAGTTTATAAACCTAACCAATAGAAACAGAAAATGTCAGACAAACTAAATCACACAAGGCACCAAAATATGGCCTATAGATAAGCACTTGCACTATCGGTACAAAGAAAAAGCAAACAAGATAAATACTTACATCTTGAGTTGCAATTGCGAAATGTCCAAATCCAGTTCCAATGTCATATTTATCAACTCCATAGTCTGGGAATAGTGTCAGAGAGAATCAACCAAGAATTATGATTTATCAATATTAACGAAATAATTCCTTAGATTGTTTCCAGTTTGTTGAGTGCTTGTTCCGGAGAGAATTATTGAAAATCATTTTTCCCCAAAATCATTTTTAAACACATATTCCATGGATCCATAATTTTGCCTTATTTTTTATAACCACATTCTCCATAAAAAAATTCATTTTTCATTTGGAAAAATCTCTACAAACAAGCTCTGAATCAATACATTTGCCATTTGTAGAGTTGTCCATTCCTCTCAAATATAAATTATGAATGACATTTATTGGACATCCTCCTTTATTTGGATGGGAAAATATGAATTCTGAAGATTGGATGAGTAAGTGTTTTGTGCAGCTCTGTGTGCACATTTTTGAGAGAACGGGGAGGGGAGATGAGGAGTATATCACGACCACTCTATGAAGTGCCAATGCAGAACCATGCAATTGATGTGATAAATAATGAACCCGAAATCAAACAATCATGCAAAATCGAGAACTTCAAAAGTTAAATAGCGATTAATAATGTAGAAATCGAAATTCAAAAGCCTTTACATACTGTATGTCAATTCCACTACAAAGTGAGAGTCTTCGGGACCAAACCCAAGAAAAGCATTTGAATATTTTTCTTCTGGAATGTCCCTCTTCCTCAATAGCTTCATCCCAAAACATTCAGTGTAAAACCTAAAACATAAAGAAAGTTAGTAACTTGAACTCAAGAAATTTAAGGATGTCGCATTTAGCGCAAACAAAATGAGTAATATTTCTCTTAAGGAGGATTCGAACTTGATGGTGCGATCGAGGTCACCCACTCGATACACAGCATGCAAGAATCGGCGCTTATCTTTCTTTGGCCATTCCAGCAACTCATCACTTGGAACAACTGGTGGTGCAGCCTCAGCCATTGTTGTATTTGCTGTAATAAATTCTCCTTGTTACTTTTGAGGTAGATATACACAAATCGATATCAGTTATAACTAAGATTAACATTCTTGCATTCTAATATTGAACCTCTTTTCTGTAAAATTGCAGTAGTGAAAATAGAACACTACAAAACTTGGAAGCAACCAGAATAAAAATTTTAAGATTAGAAGAATTTATAGATAGATATATATATATATATATATATAGTAAAAAAATACAAAAGCAAATCTTGTTCACCTCATTTCTTCTCCCTCCTTAAAATTAAAACTTTAGAATACAAAAATTTGGATAAAACCAAGAAAGTAAATAGTAGACTTAAATTACCATTTCTTTTCCTTACGTGATACTATTTTCTTTATTTTGGCTTGTTTATTCACATGAGAATTGTTAAGAGATAGAATCCCACATCGAATAAAGATGAAAACATAGACCAATTTATAAGAATTTGAGTTACTCCTCTTAATAAGGTTAACCTTCTAAGATAGAAACCTCAAATCTGAACGTGATATTGGAGCTCATTAAGCTCCAATGAGCAATTCGATCCGATTAAAACTCAAAACAATTGAGTACACGAATTTCAAGATTCGTCTGCTCAAACGAGCGACCATCTTGCGGGGCATATTAAAGAATAAAGACGAAAACATAGAGCAATTTATAAGAATTTGGGTTATTACTCTTAATAGGGTTGACATTTTGAGATGGAATCCCCAAATCTCAACAAGAATCCAGTGGTTCCAGAATAGCATGCAAAAAATGAAAAAATAAAAATAAAAAAGGAAGAAAAAGCAAAGGAAATGTACAACTTCTTTACTCAAAAAAATAAAAACTTTAGATTCCATACAAAGTGATAAACAGAAATTTTCAGTTTTCCCGTAACCAAAAGAAAAACTTCTACTGACAACAGAAATTACATGGTTTCGAAGAGGAATTCTCTAGCTCGGTAATCCAAAGCGTAAAACAGCCTACCAACTACGCTATCACCCATTCCTATCTTCAAACAAAAGTTTTAGGTTATAAATCCAAATTTAGAGCTGCAATCAAAATGATTATCAGAAAAATTAAATTACTTTATAGAATCCAGCATAAAAATAATTATAAGAAAAATCAAAACAGGGAAACACGAACTAGGGACCCAAAAAGTATCAAAGAAAAAGAATAACGCCACAAAATGGAGTAAAGGAAGGAGCGAGAGAGAGCGTACCAGAGGTAGAGACCGTGATCCCTGATTAGGGAAGCAGCGTTATAGAGCGTAACGTTTGAGAGGGTTTAGCTAGAGTGACGGGATTTCACGTAATTCTGTCACTGTTTAAGCAACAGCTGGTGGTGGAATTTTCCATATTATTTTTCTTAAATAACAATTTTGGGAAAAAAAAAAAAAAAACCACCTTTCTGGGTTGCGTTTAATTACAAGTATAAAATTTGCATTAAAAAAATAAATTTTAGACAATTCAATTGTATGAAAATAATTAATTAAATGTGTCCGATTAATTTTGTTCACTTTTTATTGATAAGTAGATGAAATATAGATAGAGAGATTGAATTGTCTGAAAAATAAAAATCCCCCATTTTTAAAGAAAATGTTTTCATTGTTTTTGAGAAAAATATGATTACGTGACAAAAAGTTGAAAAATATTTTTCATCGAAAAATTGTCAATTAAACACCTCAAAGTACGAATTTAGGTGAAAAAATGACATTTTTCGTGAAAAATTAAGCTAATTAAACACATTCTAATATTTAATGGAATATAATCAAAATAAAATTTACTAAACCAAAAGTAAAAAACTAATTATATTTTAGAAAATTGCACGATTCTTTCCCAATATTTACGAAATATAATCATCAATTTTATTTTTTTTTTTAATTTTTATCAACGAAAGAAAATAATATAATAATTTATAAGAAAGTTAGTAAAAATAAAAGACATAAAAAAAAAATAAATATTTTTCTGGTAAAATTAAGTTTTAAATATAAAGAATTTTTTCGAGTACTTAAAAATTTTTACTCTCTAAAATATAGAATATGCTCTTAAAAAAACAGACTGCAACGTTATTTATTACATTAAATGAGTAAAAAAAAACATGGTTTAATCATACAATCTAAGTTTGAAAATCTGATTAGGGAAGCAGCGTTATAGAGCGTAACGTTTGAGAGGGTTTAGCTAGAGTGACGGGATTTCACGTAATTCTGTCACTGTTTAAGCAACAGCTGGTGGTGGAATTTTCCATATTATTTTTCTTAAATAACAATTTTGGGAAAAAAAAAAAAAAACCACCTTTCTGGGTTGCGTTTAATTACAAGTATAAAATTTGCATTAAAAAAATAAATTTTAGACAATTCAATTGTATGAAAATAATTAATTAAATGTGTCCGATTAATTTTGTTCACTTTTTATTGATAAGTAGATGAAATATAGATAGAGAGATTGAATTGTCTGAAAAATAAAAATCCCCCATTTTTAAAGAAAATGTTTTCATTGTTTTTGAGAAAAATATGATTACGTGACAAAAAGTTGAAAAATATTTTTCATCGAAAAATTGTCAATTAAACACCTCAAAGTACGAATTTAGGTGAAAAAATGACATTTTTCGTGAAAAATTAAGCTAATTAAACACATTCTAATATTTAATGGAATATAATCAAAATAAAATTTACTAAACCAAAAGTAAAAAACTAATTATATTTTAGAAAATTGCACGATTCTTTCCCAATATTTACGAAATATAATC